CGGGAGAGCAAACTCCCAAAAAAAAAAACACCAAAAAAAAAAAAAAAAAAAAAAAAAACCCACAAACACAAACAGTAATAACGAAGTCTGGAAAATCAAAGGAATCTGATTTGCAAAGTTGTTACCGTCTACTATTTAAATGTCCAGATTTAGAGCCAATTTCAGGGTGCAGTGGTAAGATGCTGCTCAAGAAAAGCCAAATCTCCCATGGGGACCACCAGTTCAAATTCCCAGTCTGATCAGCTTGAAACACGTGGAACGTACATGTAAGTGCCTAGAATCTGACAGGCTGGAAGCCTGGAGGAAGGGGATCATGGCATGATGAAACTAGACCCTATAGAGGGTGCTCTTTTCTGTCTCTTTCACGTATGCACACACACTCTTATCATAAAGAAAAAAAATGTAGAGGCCAGTTCTGTAGTGCAGTGGTTAAGCACTGTGCTTAGGAAGCCAGATCACGATTTGAGTATCAGCCCTGGCAGCATGAAAAACATGCTGAGCACGTGTGAGTGCACGCCCAAAATTTTGACAAGATGGAGAAATGGAGGAAAAAGGATTACAGCATGACCATGCTCCACTGGGAAGTGCTTTCTTTCTTTCTGGCAAGTGCAAGCACTCTCCAGCAAAAATTAACTAATTAGTTTAAAAATGTTAAATGTCCAGTTTTATACATACACACAAATTATGAGATTTGTAAAGAAACAAGAGAGTGGGGGGGCCAGCAGGTGGCATGGTGGGTAACAGCACTGGATTCTCACATGGCTGACCATGGTTCAAGTCCTGGACCTGGCGGCTAGCTTTCTCACTTTCCCTCTCTCTCTCTTTCTCTCTCACTCTTGCTCTCACTCTGTCCCTTTCTGGTCAAATGTAAGTAAGTAAATTAATTAATTAATTAAGTAAGTAAGTAAAATAAAATAATTCTTAAAACAAAAAGAAAAAAGAAACAAGAGAGTGGTCCATACATAGAAAAAAGCAATCACAGAAACTATCTCTAAAGAAGCTGACATGGTAGAATTAAGTAGACATTTTTTTTTTCTTTAGGTTTTTGCCATAGGGCATATGGGCTTACCAGAGAAAAACAGAGACAATGAGAGGGAAAGTAAAAAATTACCCCCCGTGGGGATGGTCACTCCACAGTTCCTTCTTTTACATTCCCTTGGGATTTGGGGCATGCATGTACTTGCTCCTGGCATAAATTTCAAGTCGCCAGGTCTGGGACTCAAACCACGATCAGACATGTGGGAATCCCAGCACCCTAACCACCACACCACATGCTGATCCCAACAATATATATATTTTTTAATTTGCTAGAGGGCATATGGCCTGGAAAGAAAGAAAGAGAGAAAGAGGAGAAAACACCCCCAAATGGGAGATGGCCACACTACAATCCTTTCTTCTCCATTTATTTTAGAATTTTGGGCACACAGGGACCAGCAGTTGGCATAATGGCTGTCACTGGATTTTTATGTACTCGACAATGGTTTGAGTCCCAGACCCAGTGGCTTAAACTCACGCTGGGCACACGTGCATGCGTGCCCAAGAAGATCCCGAGAGAATGGAGGAGAAGGGATTGTGGCGTGGCTATGCCCCCGGGGGATAATTTCTCATTTTCTGTCTCTCTGTCTCTCTCTGTCTTTCTGGCAAGTACACATGCCCTATAGCAAAATCTCGCAAAAAAAAAGAATTATTTTATTTAACTTTATTTATTTACGTATTTTAATTTGACCAGAGAAGGACAGAGCAACAGCGAGAGTGAGAGAGAAAGTTAGAAAGCAAGCTCTAACCACGGTCAACCATGTGAGAATCCAGTGTTCCTAACCACCATGTCACCTGCCAGCCCCCAACAAATATTTTAATCAGCTATTTTAAATATGTTCAAAGAGCTAAAAGAAACTAGAGAAACAAAAAAAAAAGTATAAAAATAATGTCCTACCAAGTAAGACTATCAGTAAAGAAATAAAAATTATATACATTATGTTTTGTTTTGTTTTTGAGAAAGATTTTTGTTACAGGGGATGTGCACTTGCGGGAGAGACAGAGAGACAGAAAGCGAAATCACCCCCTGGTGGGATGGCCATGCCAGAATCCCTTCTCCTCCATTCTCTTCTTGGGATTTTAGGAATGTATGCATACTTACCGGGTGTGAGTTTTAAGCTACTGGGTATGTGACTTGAACCACAGTCGACTATGTGGGAGTCCAGTGACATAACCATTATGTCATCTACTGGTCCCCAGAAATTATATTTTTAAAAAACAAAAATCCTAGAGTTGAAAAGCATAATAACTAAAATGAAAAATTACTAGAAGGACTCAACAACATGTGGGCAGGCATAAGAAACAATGAACAAAACATGAAGACAGATTAATTCAGACTATTCAGTCAGAGAAACAGAAAGGAAAAAGAATAGAGAAAAATAGACTGAGCATTCAAGACTTTTTAGGTATCGCCAAATATAACAATGTACCTATAGTGGATCTCAGGAAAGGGAAGAGACAAAGAAGAAGAAAGATTATTTGAAGAAATAATGACCAAAAACTTCATAAATTTTTTTCTTTTGAGAGGTTTCTGCTATAGGGCACGTGTGCTCACCAGAAAGAGAGAGACAGAGAGACAGAAAGTGAGAAATCACCCCCCAGGGGGGATGGTCACACCACAATCCCTTCTCCTCCATTCTCCTCTCGGGATCTTGGGCATGCACGCACACACGCCCGGCGTGAGTTTTAAGCCACCGGGTCCGGGACGCGAACCGTGGTCAACTACGTGGGAGTCCAGCGACATAGCCATTACGCTAACTGCTGGTTCCCGAAAACTTCATAAATTTGATAAGGCATGAATCTACACATTCTAGAAACTCAGTGAAATCCAACTGGGATAGATTCAAAAAAAGCTATCTATACTCAGACACATCATAATCAAACTGTCCAAAGTCAAAGAGAATCTTGAAGGCAGCAAGAATTGACTTATCACATATAAGGGACCCTCAATAACATTATCAGGATTTTTTTAGGCCAGCCAGTGGCGTGGCAGTTAAGGTAGCTGGATCTCACATGACTGACTGCACACTTCAAGTCTTGGACCCAACAGCTTGGAAAATATGCCAGGCAATTTTATGTGTGGGTTCAAAATCCCAAGAAGAGAATGATAGAGAACAGACTACGGAGGGGCCATCTCCCTTGAAAGGGATGCTCTCTTACTTTTCCTTCTGTGTGTGTATATGTGTGCATCATGCCCAAAATCCCAAAAGGAGAATGGAGGAGAAGGGACGGCAATGTGGTCATCTCCCCTAGGGGAAGGGGGATAACCACATTTCTGACTTTACTTCTCTAATTGTCTCCAGCAAGTGCACAAGCCGCATGGCAAAATCATTAAAAAAAACCCAACAAGATAACTACGCAAAGCAAAAGTCATAAATCTGTGGTGACAGACACACACTTCTTACAGAAGATATCATTTTTAAAAAATAATTATTTATTTTATTTTATTATTATTTTAATGTGCTATAGGGTATATACACTCACCAGAGAGAGAAAGAGAAAAAAAAAGAGAGAGGGAAAGCAAGAAAGCAAGCTGCCAGGTCCAGGATTCGAACCACAGTCAGCCACATGGGAGTTCAGCCACTATACTACCTGCTGACCCCAGAAGTAAAGATATAATTTGTATGATGATAATAGGGGAAGGAGTAGAAATACATAGGAATAAAATTTTGTATACAATTGATATTAAGTCTGTATAATATTCAGGGTCACCACTGAGAACACAGTTCAAAAATATATAGTAAAAGAAATGACAGAGGAGTTAAGGATGCACAGTCCTTATAGATTTCTACTTATCTTATATCTTATGTCAGCTGTACATCCATATGAGCTTAAATATGGTCACTCATGCCACTTTTAAACAAAATTAAATATACAGCTACATACTTTCTAGTGTGATATATCCTCTCTGTCTAAAGAAGTGATTTTTGTTTCACGTCAAAAAATTCTACCTTGGGCGGCTGGCAGGTGGCGTGGTGGTTAAGGGTGCTGGACTCACACATGGCCAACCATGGTTTGAATCCTGGACCTGCCTGCTTTCTCACTTTCCTTCTCCCACTCTCCCCTCTGTGGTCAAATTTAAATAAATAAAGTTAAATAAAATAATTCTTTAAAAATATTCTACCTTGGAAATATTAAGAATTACAATAGCTAAAATTTTGGGGAGCTGTTTATACACTGTATTTTTCTTACCTTCAATATCCAACAGTGGCTGTTGATTGACGCTGAGTTTGTTCACATCACTATCAAACATTCCTATCAAGGAGGTCTTTAAAACTGCCAACAAAAGCTTCTCCTCTTGTAGTAAAATTTGCCTTTTATCTGGAGTAACATTGATATCAACACATTCTAAGGCAAAAAAGAAAACACATTTATTATGTTTAAATTCACCTTTACCAATAACAATTCTTTTTTTAAAAAAAAGAATTATTTTATTTAACTTTCCTTTCTTTACTTCCTTCACTCCTTCCTTCCTTCTTTCCTTTCTTTTAATTTGATCACAGAGGGACAGAGTGAGAGAGAGAGGGAAAGTGAGAAAGCAAGCCACCAGGTCTGGGACTCAAATCATGGTCAGCCATGTGGAGTCAAACACCCTTAACTACCATGCCACCTATTAGCCCCTGCATCTTTCTTTTATTAGACATTTTCATGTGTTTATCCATGCCAATCCTCACATGCTTTGTCTGTTTAAAAAAATTGTTCATCTTTTCCTTGTTTATTTTAAAAAGCTTAAGTTCTGGGGCTGGCAGGTGATACAGTGGTAAAGGTGCTGAACTCCCACGTGGCCGATTGCTGTTCAAGGTCTGGACCTGGCGGCTTGCTTTCTAACTTTCCCTTTCTCTCTTTCTCTGTCTGGTTAAATTTGAAATAACAATAATAACAACTAAAATGAATAATTCTTTAAAAAATGAAAATAAATAAAAAGCTAATGTTCTAAAAAGTTTATTTCTTTTAGGGGCCAGCAGGTAGCATAGTGGCTTACGTGCTTGATTCCCACATAACCAACTGTCATCTGAGCCTTGGGCCCAGCAGCTTGAAAAATCACACTGGCTTGTGTGCATGCATGCCCAGAATCCCAAAAGGACAATAGAAGAGAAAGGACTGCAGCATGACCATCCCCTCAAGGGACTGATTTTTCACTTTCTCTCTCTGTCTCTCTCTGCCGAATGCTCATGCCCTATGACAAAAATCTTAAAAAAAAAAAAAAAAAGAGGGGGTCTGGCAGATGGGATGGTGGTTGAGGAGCTAGACTTCCACATGGTCAACCATGGTTTGAGTCTGGACCTGGCGGTTTTCTTTCTCTTGTCAAATTAAAAAATAATAATAAACAAAATTAAATTAGTGATTCCTTTTTTCTTTTTTTCAAGGAATTATTTCATCTAGTCTATTTATTTATTTACTTATTCGAATTTGACCAGAGAGGGGCAGAGTGAAAGTGAGAGAGAGAGAGTGAGGGAACGTGAGAAAGCAAGTCGCTAGGTCTAGGACTCAAACTGCAGTTGGCCATGTGGGAGTACAGTGCCCTTAACTACCACATTACCTGCCAGTCCCATAAATTAAATTATTATTTTTGTAAAAGAATTATTTTATTTATTTATTTATTTATTTATTTATTTTCACATGAGTTTTGCCAGAAAAAGCCAGAAAGAGAGAGAGAGAAAGCAAGCTGCCAGATCTGGGACTCAAATTATGGTTGACTATGTGGTAATTCCAGTGCCTTAATCACCATGCCACCTGCTGGCCTCTAAATAAATAATTATTTTTAAAAAATGTTTATTATAGGGACCGAGAAGAGGATTCCTCATGGAATAGTTCTCTCTCTCTAGTTACACTAGAACCTTATCATTTTAATTTATTATTTTAGAAGCAAATCACCAGTTTTACTGAAATATCAGTTGAACTCACCAGAATCAACAGAAATATTAAGAACGACAAATGGATATTGATGTCGATTATACATGTGGTAGACCTCATTCACAAGTCTGGAGACCTGTATAAAAAAAAAAGATTAAAAAATAAATGTTCTAGGGGCCGGCAGGTGTCATGGTGGTTAAAGGTGCTGAACTCTCATGTGGTCAACCTCGGTTCAAGTCCTTAACCTGGTGGCTTGCTTTCTCACTTTCCCCACTTTCTCCCTCTCTCTCTCTCTGCATGTCTGATCAAACTGGAAAATAATTAATTACGATAAATAAAGTTAAATAAAATTCTTTAATAAAAAGAAAGAAAATAAGTGCTCTCTTCCCCCAATGTTCTAATAACATGGAATTCTAATCAACCACCAAAGTTTTAAGATATAATGGACATGCAAAGAACTGTATCAACTTAATGTACAATTTGACGCATATATATGCGCACCTATAAAATTATCCCGTAATCAAAATAATAAACACATCTATTACTCAAAAGATTCCTCATACCCTAAAAAAGGATTTTTTTTTAAACAGATTTCTGTTATAGGGTATATGCACTCACTAGAGAGACAGAGAGAGAGAGAAGGCGATAAATCACCCCTAGGGGAGATGGCCACAATCTATCCTCCTCTCAGAATCTTGGGCATGCACATACATGCATCCAGTGTGAGTTCCAAACCTCCAAGTCCGAGACACGAACCATGGTTGGCCACAAGGGAGTACGACACCCCAACCACTATGCCACCTCCTGGCCCCCAAAGATGTATTTTTAATTACCAAGTTCTAAAACTGAGTATTTTCAAATCTAAAGATGCTCTTAAAGAATTTTTTTAAAGAACTATTTTAACTTTATTTATTTATTTATTTTAATTTGACCAGAGAGGGGTAGAGAGAGAGAGACAGAGAAAGAAAGAGAGAAAGTGAGAAAGCAAGCCAACAGGTCTGGGACTCAAACCATGGTCAGCCATGTAGGAGTCTAGTACCCTTAACCACCATGCCACTTGCCAGTCCACTCTTAGAGAAATTTTAATGTAATGTAGATGCAGTTTAAGGTTACTGTACTAGTGAATTTTCAAATGTACATAAAAACAAATTCATATGACATTTATAATGAGCTTATTAGGTAGCATTAGAGGCAACCATAAAGTCACAGTAATTATAATACAGGTTTAAGTTGAACCACATCTGGTAGATGCAAGAAAATTTTAAAGTATTACTGGAAAACAGAAAATATTACTGAGGTGCAATGTTACTAAAGATGCAAAGTTAAAACTAACCCACTAAAACCACATGTACCAATATCGAGATGATCATATTAAGGTTAAGGCAAAAGTAATCTAGGGTGTTATTTTCCTGGAAAATGGACAGAAGGAAGACAATACGCAGAAATATATGCATATGTGGGCCAGTCTCATAGACTAGTACTTAAGGGAGCTGGAAAACACACAGATCCAGGGATCTGAAAAACAGAGTATGTGTGCATGTATGCCCCAAATCCTGACAAGATGGAGAAATGGAAGAAAAAGCCCCATTGTGGAGTGTTTTCTCCCTCTTCCTCTCTGTTTCTCTCTGCAATTAAAGGAATGCAATTAAAGAAAAGTCTAGATGACAGCAAATATTTTAAATGTTTCTTCAAAGAATGATAGTTTTTATGATAAATATACTGGTAACTAGCATATTCATATATGTGTGCATATACACACACTTTTTTTTTTTTTGGAGAGTTTTTTGCTATAGAGCGCGTGCACTCGCCAGACAGACACAGAGAGACAGAAAGCGAGAAATCACCCTCCAGGGGGGATGGCCACGCCACAATCCCTTCTCCTCCATTTTCCTCTCAGGATCTTGGGCACGCATGCACACGCGCCTGGCGTGAGTTTCAAGCCACCGGGTCCGGGACGCGAACCACGGTCGACTACGTGGGAGTCTACGACATAGCCATTATGCTAACTGCTGGTCCCTACACACACATTTAATATGCATAGACATACACAATTGAAACACCTGCATGGCAGACTTTTTAAACAATGCCTATTATTAGATCATTTTAAAACCATGCTTCTGAGTCAAGTCCCAAGTCACATGACAACTGCCTGCATCAGAAAAAACTGTCAAATGATACAGAAAATTTAAAAATCAAAGGCATAAATAACAAACCATACAAAAATGTTTTGAATACCTTTGCCGGATCACAAGGCCGCCGATTGATAAAGAAAAATTGTCTGTCTGTTGAACTCCTTCCGACACCGTGCCCACAACGCGAAATGAAACCTGAGATACTGTTCAATGGTAATATGGTAAAGCACGATTCCAGAGTAAAAGGATTAGAAACATAAATCACATGACATATTCTTAAAATTAAATAAAAACAAAACACCTGATGATGTCCTGGAAGTATTACTCTTAACCTTCGGTTAACGTGTGTCTATGCTCCATCCTACAGAATCATAAAAAGAACCTTAACCCTTTGGAAAGCTCTATAGCTCTTATACTCATCAGATCCACCAGAGGCAACGCAGTGCATTCAAAAGCAAAAACTGATTTACTTAAGCTCTCCTTTCATCTTCCCTATTAAATCCTTGACCTGGAGACCAGCAGATGGACTAAAGGTTACGTCGCTGAACTCCCATGTGGTTGACCACGGTTTGAGTCCTGGACCCAGTCAGTGGCTTAAAACTCACACCAAGCGGTGGGTGGTTAAGGGCATGATGGTTAAGGGTGCTGGACTCCCACATGGTCAACCGCGGTTCAAGTCCCAGACCTAGCGGCTTGCTTTCTCACTTTCCCTCTCTCTCGCTATGTCCCTCTCTGGTCAAATTCAAATAAATAAATAAATAAAGTTAAGTGAAACAATTCATTTAAAAAAAGACTAACTCAACACAAAAGCCTCTGAAATACACCAGTGTTTGAGCTAAGTAACTGAGTCCTCTCTATAAATCCTCTTTCTCACCAGCAATATTGCCCACAGTTTTATAAAACATGTAAAATGTGACTTAAAGTCACTTTCTTTAAAAATATGATAAACCTCGAGAAAAAATGACTGCCATTTTCCTAGCAGCAATGTACTTACTGAAACAGATTATGCAGAGCATCAAAACAGCTCAGCCCATACTCTTCACAGATGGAGTCACTAGGGGGCAGCTGAACAAAAGGAATGAGGCTTTGCAACTAAAAGAAACCAAGATTCACAGTTAGTTCAGAGTGAAGACAGAATGGACCTAACTTCAGGGAAGATATAATGAACGCTTCTGTGTGTTTTCTCTCCTAGTCAAGATATCTACATTAAGAGCACAAAGAAATTCAAGTAAATAAGTAACAGCTTTGCAGTGCTGTAATAACTCTGATTCTTCATTAAAAAGATGAAACACTGGAGCTCTTACTTTTTCATAAACAATATACTGTCCATAATACTTCATTATCTTTTCAGAGAAAAAGGAAAAGGATGCAGTATTTTATTCTGTGGAATAATAAAATGAAAAACTTCAGCACTCAAACATGAATTTTTGTGACAGGTACCTAAAAAAATCAATTGTTGGAATTTAATTTATTCTCTAGTCTATTAGAAAGGACAAAATAAACCTGTCATAAGCACTAGAGCGATAAAATATTAAGTAATTGGCCACCACACTACCTGCTTCTGCCCAAACACAGATCCGATGTTTTCCTTTATGCTGGAGCCTCCATTTGTGCATACCACAGGCTGTCGTTTTCCTTGTCCAAGCTGATTGGTACAACTTACACGGATGCCTTCTGAAATGATGCAGTATGCGTGTAAGACCTGGACCATTTTGGCATACTCCTATTGAAAAAACACAAACACAAGACTCAACATTATTTTATTTATTTATTTGTCTACTTATTTGTTGTGACTTTCAAGCCACTAGGTCCAAGACTTGAACTGTAGTTGGCCACGTGAGAATCCAGCACATCAACCATCACCTGGGTCCATCAACATTAGTTTAATCTTACAAGAATTATATGGTTCCAGTTATAACATCCAATACTAAGTTCACATATCAACTCGCAAACATGGACAAGTATTACTGAGAGAACAATCTATGAAGCGGCATCTACCTACATGCTGTAAGAGGGTACTCAAGCTTTGGTCCCTACTCACGGTCCTCTCATTTCCATATGTTCCATGTCCACCACTGTAAAAATCAAAAAGTCAGTTCCCTTTGACCTCACAATCTCTCCTCTCGAAATGTATCTTTATAGAAAGACTGGCACAAACACACAAAGAAAGATATAGTACCAAAGTGTCAATTTTGGTACTATAAAAATTCAATTACAATCTGTAACTATGAAAAATCAAAAACGGAGCTAACTAAATGTTGCTATATCCATCCCAGTAAAAAATACGGTGGTACATAGTGAACAATAAAGATTAATTGCAATATGCTACATAAAAAGTCAGTCATACAAGAATATATGCAGTATCATCCTATCATTAAAAAAACCCTAGGTGGGCCAGCCTGTGGCATGGAGGTTAAAGCAGCTGGATCCGACATAGTCAAATGTACAGTTCAAGTATCAGGCCCAGCAGCTTGAGAAATATGCCAAGTGTGTGTGTATGTTTGCCCAAAATCTTGAACAAAGAGATGGAAAAGAGATTAAAGAGTGACCATTCTCCATGGAAGATGTTTCTCGCTTTCCCTCTCTGTCTCTGGGTGGGTAGCACATAAGCCTTCTGGCAAAAAAATTTTTTTTAATTCTAGGGGCCTGCAGGTGGCCTGGTGGTTAAGGGTGCTGAACTCCCACATGGCCAACTACAGTTCGAGTACTGGACCCGGCAGCTTGCTTTCTCACTCTTCCCTCACCTTCTCTGTCCCCCTCTGGTCAAATTAAAATAAATAAATAAATAAAGTTAAATACAATAATTCTTTTTAAAAAACTTTATTCATTGTCATTATTTTATTTTTTGAAGTTGATCAGAGAGAGAAAGAAAGAAGGAAAGTGAGAAAGCAAGCTGCCAGGTCTGGGACTCGAACCATGGTCAGCCCTGTGAGAGTCCAGCCACCTGGTGGTCACCAAATAAAATAGTTCTTGAAAAAAAATTCTAGTGTTGGTCCCATGGCCTAGTGCTTAAAGGAACTGGAGTCCAAATGGTCCCAGTAGCAAAAAAAACCACACAAGGCACAATTTACAACAGGATGGAAAACAGGGAAGGGATTGTGGCATAATCACTACTTACTAGGGGTGCTTTCTCCCTCTCCCTCTTTGTCTCTCCATCTGTTTCTCTGGTAAGCACCTATGCTTTCTGGTGAAAGAAGGAAAGAAATTAACAAAGAAAGAAAGAGGGACCAGCAGGTGGCATGGTGGTTAAGGTGCTGAACACTCCAAATGGCCAACCACGGTTTGAGTCTCAGACCTGGTGGCTTGCTTTCTCACTTTTGCTCTCTGTTTCTCTCTCTCTGTCTCTCTCTGATCAAATTAAAATAAACGAATGAAAGAGACATTTTTGCTATAAGGTGCATGTGCTTATTGGAGAGACAGAAAGTGAGAGAGATAGAAAGTGAGAAATCACCTCCCAAGGGGATGACCATGCTGCAATCCCTTCTCCATTCTCTCTTGAGATTTTGGGCATGCACACACAAGTGCCCAGTGTGAGCTTCAAGCTGCCAGGTCAGGGACTTGAACCACAGTTGGTCATGTGGAAGCCCAACAACGTAACCATTACACCATCTGCTGGACCCTCTTCTTTTTTTAAAGAGAGATTGTTGGGAACCAGCAGTTAGCTTAATGGCTATGTCGCTGGACTCCCACGTAGTCGACCGCAGTTCATGTCCCGGACCCGGTGGCTTAAAACTCACGCCGGGCGCGTGTGCGTGCATGCCCAAGATCCTGAGAGGAGAATGGAGACACTGGCCAAAAAGACAGAGAGAGACAGAGAGACAAAAAGTGAGAAATCACCCCCTGGGGGGATGGCCACACTACAATCCCTTCTTCTCTATTCACCTCTTGGGATCTTGGGCACACACACACGTACCCGGCATGAGTTTCAAGCCTCCTGGTCCAGGACTTGAACCACTGTCAGCTCTGTGGGAATCCAGCAACATAACCATTATGCCATTTGCTGGTCTCAAAAAAGTGTTACTTCTTAAAAGACCCATTTCATATTAGAATATCTAACATATACTATTTGATGATTTGATGATTCTTTTCAAGAAAAGTAAAGAGGGACCAGCAGATGGCATAACAGTTATGTCACTGGACTCCCATGTAGTCGACTGTAGTTCGAGTTTCAGTCCTGGCAACTTAAAAACTCATGCTGGGCACATGGGCATGTGTGCCCAAATCCCAAGAGGAGAATGGAGGAGAAAGGATTGTGGTGTGGTTATCCTCCCAGGGGGTGATTTCTCACTTTCTGTCTCTGTTTCTCCAACTAGCACACACACCTATAGCAAAAATCTTTCTTAAAAAAAAAAAAAAAGAAAAGAAAGATAAATCATTCTAAAGTTCAGTTTTTAGTGGGATGAAGCAAACAAGGGACCTCTCAAAAAAAAAAAAAAAATGGAGGACGAGAATCAACTGAAGAGTAAATATCTTTTTTTTTTTGGAGAGGTTTTTGTTACAGGGCACGTGAGCTCACCAGAAAGACAGAGAGAGACAGAGAGACAGAAAGCAAGAAATCACCCCCCCAGGGGGGATGGCCATGCCGCAATCCCTTCTCCTCCATTCTCCTCTCGGGATCTTGGGCACACACGCACATGGCGTGAATTTAAGCCACTGGGTCCAGGACTCGAACTACGGTCGGCTACGTGGGAGTCCAGTGACATAGCCATTACGCTAACTGCTGGCCCCAAGAGTAAATATCTTTTATAAATCCTTTACTTATCTGTATATTATACTATCGATACCCTTGGAAACTGGGTCTGTGAATTTACCATACCTTTTTAATATTCCTTTGAAATTCCTTATGGCGCACAGGTAGTGTATAAAATAACTGCTGCACACTGACTGTGGTCCCTCTGGGTCGTGGGTAGGGGGTTTTCTGAGTGATTTTCCCATTATGATCAAACACCAATCGAGTCCCAACCTTTGCAGATGTGTGGTAGGTAGAAATAGTTATGTCACTGTAAGAGAATACCAGGCATGGCACATTCAGTTAGAGACCAGTAAGTATTGAACATCAAATATTCTTATTCTCACTTTCCTTTCTCTCCAAACTCCTTAAAAAAGATAATGATCCCTCTGAGATAATCAAGAGGGTATAAATGAACGAGAAGCCATAAGGTTTGGTACCTAATAGATAATGAGACAGAGTTCAGTAAAGCCTTCCTTTGATAAAAGTTTTGATACTTTTTGTTCTTATGTGCCAGCCAGAGAAAGACAAAAAGAAAGAAGGAAAGTGAGAAAGCACCCCCTGGAGGGATGGTCATTTCACAATCCCTTCTCCATTTTCCTCTCGGCATTTTGGGCATGCACACACACGTGCCTGGTGTGTTTTTCAAGCCTCTGGGTCCAAGACTCAGACCATGTAGTCAGACATGTGGGATCCAGCTTTCTTAACCACCACATCACTGAATGACCCTGTGTATTATTTTTTTTAATTGGGACATTGCTGTTTCAATAAGGATAACAGTATTTTTTACAATAATATTTGCTCCATTTCACTTGTTCATTGCTTATAGTTTAGAAACATGATACTTATATTGGGAGTATAATAAAACAGAATTGAGAAGTTAGTAGAGACATTTGGATAAAAAAGGTATAAACAATAATGATTCTAGTCATACTTCTCAGTTTTCAAAGGGTTTTTATAAGACAAGTCAAGTGAATAGATGAAAACATTGGATGACCTCAATGCACAAAGTGAGCTCAGAGCTTCTCCCCGAAAGCCGAAAGTTTCAACCTGTGTTAGGTCAGCAAACTCTTGAATCTTAGAAGTATGATGTTTCAGAGCTGAAAGAAAGTATAAAGTAAGGTCCAAGATTTCCTAAGTGAGAGAGCAATGAATATACACAATAACTACCCAAGTAACTGGCTTTAAAAGCTGTTCTGTGGTTCTTAAGACTACTCAAAAAACTGAGACGTCTGGCCAATTATTTCATAACTACATTAGAAAAATACAACTTACTTAAGCCTTCAAAGTTTTCTTCTTCTACCCCACATCCATTGTCTGAAACTTCAATGAAATCCACGCCATAGTCTTTAAGCCTCAGATCTAAAAAGTTTAAAATATTTATCAAAAAAAATCCATTCTGAAAGTATTTATATTGACCTTAAGAATAACATGTAATGTGGGGCCAGCAGGTGGCATGGTGGTTAAGGCACTGGACTGCCACATGACTGACCATAGTTAGAGCCCCAGACCTGGCAGCTTGCTTTCTTACTTTCCCTCTCTCTCTTTCTCTCTCTAATGAGCCCACATGTCATATAACAAGTTAAAAAAAGTAATAGTAATAATAAATAATTTTTTAAAGAAAATGAATAACATATAATGTAACAATACTATTATTTGAATGTATTATTGTCATTTTATATATTCTATTTCTTAAAGTCCTTTTTGGCTACTCACTAGCCCAGATTAAATAGTTTTGTTTTCCTTTCTTTTGAAAGGATTTTCTTTTCTTATTCATTATTTTCCCAGATGCAGACAGCATCTTGAAAAAGGAATAACTGGGTGGAACAGCAGTAAAATGTGATGCTCTGCAACACTGACACATATGAGAAGGTTCTGGTTCACATCTAGAAATCTCCTTGCTTGGGGCCAGTAGGTAGCATGGTGGACTGGACTGGATTCCCACATGGCCAACTGCAGTTTGAGTCCTGGACCTGGCAGCTTGCTTTCCGACTTTCTTTCTCTCTCTCTTGTACATGTGCCCTATAAGAAATTTAAAAATAATAATAACAAATAAAACTAAATAAATCTTTAAAAGAAAAAAATCCTGTGTAAGACGGGTACATGTGTGCCCATAATCTGGAGATTATGGTGTCAAGGCCCTGTTGGGAGTGCTATCTTTCTGCCTCTTTCTGTCTCTCTTACTCATAGAAGAAATAAAGAATATTTACCAAAAAAAAGGGAAGAATATTAACATAGCCATTAAAAGAAAAGGTTTTGGAATCAGACTTCCTAAATCATACTTTACTGGCTTTATAACCTCAAAAAGATGTAAATTCCCTGCACCTTAATCTCCTCATCTGTACAATGAAGATAATAATAATAATAATCCTTATCACATGAAGTTATTCTACAGATTAAAGAGATATTTCATGTACCATTTTTAGCACAATGCCTTCTTGGAGCACAGTAAAATCACAATCAAAGTTAATTACTATTATTACTATTTTACCTAGCTCAGTACTAAGCACATATTAAAAATAACAACTTAGGGACCAGCCGTTGGCATAATGGCTATGTCACTGGACTCCCATTGTCAACTGTGCTTCAAGTCCCAGACCCGGTGGCTTAAACTCACACCAGGTGCATGTGCATATGTGCCCAAGATTCCAAGAGGAGAACAGAGGAGAAGGGATTGCAGCATGGCCATCCCCCCTGGGTGGGGGGTGGGGGATGATTTTTCACTTTCTGTCTCTCTGTCTCTCTTTTTCTGGTGAGCACACATGCCCTATAGAAAAAATCTCTCCAAAATAAATAAATAAATAAATAAATAAATAAATAACTTAAAAATAACAACTTATTAGTGAACCAAGACTTGATTGTCTTGTTACAGTAACAAATGTTTCTTGAATAAAACATCACAAAGTGATTATTTTTTGTGGCTTAAAACGCTCCCAAACTTACCAATACTTGTTGCACCAGCATCCAGACTATTTTCTACTAACTCCTTGACAGCAGTGCTAAGACTCAAGACCACCTGCCCAGAACAAATTTGATGGACTGACTTCCGATCAATAGGTTTGATGGCCTTGGCAAGTTCTGTACTAAAGAAATCAGTTACAAGACACAAAGCAAGTAGTTCAATTACACATTTTCATCCTGTGAGAAATTATTATCTCTTAATAGTGGATCTAATCTATTCATTGATTATATGAACACACCCATTTATTATATTCATAAGTATAAATGTTGTTATAAATATAAATGTTGTTATATAATCCTTAAACATCTGTCAAAAAATATTTCTGGGGCCAGGTGGAGACACAGTGGCAGTTCAACTAGACTCACATGAAAAAGATCCTGAGTTCATATCCCAGGATCTCCCTGAGCACACAAGCAGTGCATGTGCATAACCATGATCCAGGCTAGCTGAGAATGAGGGTGGATTGTGCCATGGGGACCTTCTTGGGGGTGCCTGACCCTATCTTTCATGGAAGACATAAACTTAAAGAAATTTTTTTGAATAATTCTGGATAGGTCCAGTCAGTGGCATGTGGTTAAAGCTGCTAGATCCATAGCCAACTGTGCAGTTCAAGTTCCAGAGTGAAGGCCTGAAAAACACACCAGACATGTGTTCTTGCATGGAGAAGGGAGGAGAAGGGATTGCAGCATGGCCACCCCCCCAGAGGATGCTTTCTTTTTTCTCTCTGGCAACTGCCTGCACCCCTACAACAAATTTAAACAAAATATAACAAAAATACTTCTAAATAGATAACTTCAAATTCAGTAGATATTTAAAATCTCTATACATTCGAATCTATGTGGAAGAGACACATTATCTCTCTCAAACTAAAGATCAATAATCTTTTGCAACAATAGGTCTTCTTTTGTAAAAAAGTAAAAGCAATGTTTTATTTTTTAAAAGAATTATTTATTTCCATTTGTTATTATTATTATTATTTTTTAAATTTGAACAGACAGAGGCAGAGAGAGAGAAAGTGAAAGTGAGAAAGCAAGCCACCAGGTCCAGGTCAGCCATGTGGGAATCTAGCCCCTTTAATCCAGCATCTATGCCACCTGCTGGCTCCTAAAAGCAACATTTTCTACATAATTTGAAAAACCAAGTGTATGGTGGGAAATATTGATACGTATGTCAAAATCTGCTCTGAAACTGGTTAGCAATTGTATATTCCCATAGTTGCCTTTGGAACCCCATCTCAACTTCAAGTTGCCACTCTTGCCCAAGTAATGTCCCTTAAAGTTCTTGCTGTACCTGCTTCAAGAGTTTTACAACTGTCTCCACCTTCTCTCTTCTCAAATACATCCTCCATGCTACCACCAGTTATTTTCAAAATCACAAATCTGGTCAGATAATTTTTCTGTTTAACAATTGACTAGTACCTCACTGCTTACAGTGTCGAAGGTTAAAATTTAGCCAGAACTGGGCTCCAAACTACCTTATTTTCTCATCCTTTCCTATCCTTTTCCCTTCACCAAGTCCCTACAATTGAGTCACAACAAAGAACCGTTTTCTGAATAATCACAAGTCCTTTTAGACACTGTATTCTGTCTAAGCAGGTCTATCTAAAGTGTTCCCTTCTTCCTCTGCCTGACCAACTCCTGCTCATCCAAAGATTAGATTCCCTATGTCCATTAATGTAGCAAATTCTAGTAAACTATGAAACTGATAACTGGCCTATAACAAAACACAAGAACCTCCCCAGGAGCAAAATCTTTATATATCTCCCACAGCAACTAACACAAAGCAGACACTCAGTAAATCATAGAGAAATAAAGGAACAAATCTCATTACTCTTCACTCTACTTTGCAACGAACTTCAATGATTTGTCTTCCAGAAGAAAACCATAGATGTTCTTACGTAAAACGGAAAGCATTATCTCTAAAAACTATTTTATCTGGCAATACACTATTTCTGATATTTTTTACGAAAGGTGGAGGGGAGGGAGATACAACTTTGAAACACAGACAGTTAATTTGCATTTACAAATCTGACAATGAATCAACAGTGGGGGCCGTGGATTTATACCCTGAATTCGTATAGCTTACGGTAGAGAAAACATACACACAGACAAAAACGGAAGCACTGCATTTTTAAACTGTGCGACTATGCAAATTGAAATGTGCCTTAAGCAACAACCCCACCACCACCACCGATAGTAACGTCAATTAGAAAAAAAAGAGCGACACAGGTAAAAAAAGGAGTTGGGTTCATGTTCCGGCTTCAAGTTCAGCGCGCAGTGACGGCGTCTGAGGTACAACCGCCTGGGAGCAGGGCAAAGCCAACACCTCAAAGCGCAGAATCCCACTGCCCGCAGCGGAGGACGCAGTGAGGAGCTCGCCCCCCACCTCAGAACGCGCCCAAAAGGCCGGGGTCAGGGAGTTCTGAGGACGCCGCTCCCAGGCCTCGGCGCCGCGCGTGCGCCATGCGCCTCGGTCACGCGCCTCCTCCTTCCCACGGGGCAGGA